ACACCCTACTGATAATGGTTTCCATGGAGAGCCAGAGAAGTGGTCAAACCTGCTCATCCAAAGTTAGGCTGCCATCCTGAATCTAGGATCCGCCCATCTTGCCACATCTATACCCCCAATCCCTCCCCTTCCTATTGCATGTAGACCCCTACATCATCCCCCTCCCATTACTGTAGTACCTATAGCACAACCCCTTCCTGTGACCTATGACATATGTCTTTACCTGGAATTAGGGGGCTTGCATGCCCCTCAAAGACATTTAGGCCTTAGTTAGTAATAAAGAGCTCTCTCCCCTTGTTCCCCCTGCCCTCTCCCTTGCTCCCCCTTCCTCTCTCCTGGTCTTCGCTCCCCAGTTTCCTTTCCCCTTGTCCTCCTTCCCTTCCCCCTCTCTCCTGCCCTCTGGTCTCCCATCTCCACATGGACCACTGAGTGGGGCTGAGGTGAGCATGCTACTATGAAATGTGTCTGACTCCATTATTCCAATCTCTCTTCTAACTCTCCTTATTCTCTATGACTTTATTATATAGCTATATATTTTAACCGTACACTTGCTCCTATTGAACCCACGATTAGTTGTTGGGGACTGGCCCCACAAGAGCCCGCAACACAGAGAATCCAGGATAGATAAACCCCTCGGGGCCAACAATGAGAGTAGCAATACCAGGAGGATAGGAGAAGGTGGGGGGAGAAAGGGGATATCAATCACAAGGATCAACATATAATCCCCTCCCAGGGGGGTGAACAACAGAAAAGCAGGTAATGGGCGACAGAAGACGATGTAAGATATGAAAATAATAATCTATAACTTATCAAGGGTTCATGAGGGAGGGAGGGCGAGGGAGGGAGGGGGAAATGAGGAGCTGATATCAAGGGCTCAAGTTGAAAGAAAATGCTTTGAAAATGATGATGGCAGCATATGTACAAATGTGCTTGACACACTGGATGAATATATGTATTGTGGTGGGAGATGTAAGAGCCCCCAAGAAAAGAAATTGCTTCAGTAAATACGGGGATGCATATGTCTATTTATGTTTTGTTCTTTATTTCTTTAGCGTATATACCAAGTAGTGAGATTGCAAGGTTATAAGATATTTGGATTTGGATTTGTTTAAGGAAGCAGCATACTGACTTATATAACCCAAAATCAAAGTCACCGCCATCGAATCAAGGCTGACTCATACCGACCCTATAGGGTAGGGTAGAACTGCCCCTGTGAATTTCAACACTAACTCTTGGCACAAGTAAAAGTCCCCATGATTTCAAATTGCTGACTTTACCGGTAGCAGCCCAACAAGTAACCACAAGGCACCAGTTCTTCCTGACGTCCATAGTGGCTATACAATTCTGCAGTCCCCCAAACAGTGTATGAGTGTGCCAGTATCTCGACATCCTCACCAGCATTGACTGTTTTCATTTTGCTAATAGTGTTGGCGAGAGATGACGTCTGATTGTTTTAATTTTTATTTCTCTTTTGACTAATGAATGGGAACATTTCTTGATGTGATGGTGGCTAACTGGATATATCAGTTTTCATACGTTGTCTATTTATGTCTTGTGCCCAATTTTGATTGGGCTATTTGTATTTTTCTTATTAAGGTGTAGTTTTGTATATATTTTAAACGTTAGCCCTTTATCTGGTATATCATGTCCAAATATATTTTCTCAATACGTGGATTTTCTTTATAATCTTTTAATGAGGTCTTTTGATGTACACAAATGTCATATACGTAAAAGGCCCCGCTTCCCTATTTCATCATCTGTAGTGTACTTTTCCATTATGTTCAGTAGAGTATTTATATCTTATATTAAAACCCTTACGTTTGTCTCTATGGGATTTTCGATGTATAGGGTTACATCGTTTGCAAATAAAGTCTTTCTTCTTCTTTGTGAGTTTGGATGACTTTATTTCCCCTTTATTGCCTTCTCGCTCTGGCTAAGACTCTTTATTTTTTATTTCCAATATGGAATAGCAGTGGTGAGGAAGGGCATCCTTCTCTGGTTCCCATTTGAAAAGGGAATTGTCCTCGCCATTAAAAGCTAGGTTGGCTGTTGGTTTTGTATATATGGTTTTAATTGTGCTGGAGCGTTTCCCTTCTATTTATAGCTTGCTGAGTGATTTTACAAGGAATGGATATTGGATTTTGTCAAATGTGTTTTACACATCAATCAATATGGTCATGTGGCTTCTTTCCTTTGTTTTACTTATGAAATGGATTATACTGATGTGTTTTCTTATGTTGAACTATATTTGTATATCTGATATTGCCCTACATAATCACAATATGCTTCTATATATTTATTTATAATATATTTATATCATATATAAAATATATATCACAAAATTACCATATAAATTACATATTGATGGATTCTATTTGGTACAATTTTGTCGAGAATTTTTGCATCTATTTTCATAAAGGATTCTAATCTATATTTTTGTCATTCAGTGATGTCTTTACCTGGTTTTGGTTCAGGATTATGCTCATTCAAAATGAGATGGGTCATTTTTCTTGCTTTTCTATATTCTGGTGCAATCTGAGTAGAATTTGTGTCAACTGTTCTCTGAGTGTTTGTAGAATTCACCAGTAAAGCTGTATCACCCCGCACTTGTTGTTATTGGGATTTTTTTAATAGCCTCCAATTTAAGACAATTAATTCTTACATTACGGCCCTGTTCAATCCTCACCCACAGGAAGAGAACTCAGATGACATGGGTGCTATAGCAAAGTGTGCGCAAGAAATTAGATGGTGCCCAGCTGTCAGATAACGTGGCGTCTGGGGTCTTAAAAGCTTGTTTCCAAACAAGCAGCCATCTAGGTGAAATGTCAGCCAAGTTCACAGTGGAAGAAGAATACCAACATCAGTGACGGAAGGATTATAAATCATATTATCTGAAGCCAAAGGAGGGAATAGTATATAGCCTAAGTAGTGAGAATCTGGTTTGCAGAAGACTATGGATGACTTTGGGAGTCCAAGGTACATTTGTGGGATCTACTTGTTAATAAGACTCTGAATATTTCCCTCTATCCATTATAAAGGGATAGAAGGAAAGTGTTACCAAATAGAGTATATCAGAGAGATGACTATAGAAAATCAAAATGATAAACCTGACTTGAACAGCTAATAGCACTCCTAAAAGAGTATGAGTGGCAATATTAATTTCTGATGAAATAAACTTTAAAGAAAAAAACAGCATAAGAGAAAAAAGGGATATTATATAATGATTAAATGTCAACTAAGCAAGAAGACAGAATCATAAAATCTGTTAAGTCAATGAAACAGTGTCAAAATACAAAATCTGTCTGGCCGTGGTTTGTTTCTTGCCTCTTCTGGGTATACGCCCAGTAGGGGGATTTCTGGGTCATATGGTAGCTCAATTTCCATCTGTTTTAGATATTGCCAAATCGATTTCCATAATGACTGAACATACCTACAGGTCCACCAGCAGTGGATGAGAGTTCCTGTCTCACCCCAGCCCCTCCAACACTTGTTGCTTTCTGATTTTTTGAATTGGGCTATCTTTGAGTGTGTGAGGTGGTATCTCATTGCTGTTTTAATTGACATTTCTCTTATGGCTAATAATCAGGAACATTTTCTCATATGTTACTTGGCCATTCAGATTTCTGCCCTTGTGAAATTTCTGTTCAGGTCCTTTGCCCCCCTCCTGAGTGAGCAATTAGTTTTTTTTCTTTTTGGAAGCTAGCAGAGTATTGTAGATTTTAGTAAGAAGGCCTTTGTCTGATGAGTCATTGCTAAAGATTTTTTCCCCAGTCTGTGGGCTCTCTTACTACTCTCTTGGTGAATACTTTCGATGTACACAGTGTTTTATCTTCAGTATATCCCACTTGTCTATTGTGACTCATCTGTATTTATGTCCTTCCCTATTTCTGATAGCCTATGTATTCCCTGTGCCAAAGTTCTCAGATTGGTCCCAATACCCTCATTGATGGCCCTAATAGTTTAGGGTTTTACCTTGAGGTTTGTGATCCACCTTGAGTTTATTCTTGTGCATGGAGTGAGGTAAGGGTCTTGCTTCATTTTTCTGCAGGTAGATATTCATTTTTCCCAGCACCACTTGTTGAAGAGGGCATCTGCTTTCCATTTGATATTTTGGGGGCCCTTATCATAGATCAGTTGTCTGTATGCTGATGACTTTAATCTGGATTTTCAGTTATTTTCCGTTGGTCTGAGTATCTGTCATTATACCGATACCATGCAGTTTTGACCACTGTGGCTGTATAAAATGTGCTAAAGTCAGATAAAGCAAGCCTTCCCACTCTGTCCTTCTTGAGGAGTTTCTGCTGATTCGGGGCTTCTTCCCTCTCCCTATGAAGTTGGTAATCAGTTTTTCCATTTCTTTGATACAAGACGAGGGCAATTGTATCAGGATTGCATTAAACTTATATAGTGCCTTGGGCAGAACTGACATCTTTACTATATTGAGTCTTCCAATCCATGACCATGGGATATTCTTCCATTTGTTGAGGTCGCTCTTGGTTTCTTGTAATAGTGTTTTATAGTTTTCCTCATATAGATCTTTTGTTCTTTTAGTCAGGTATATCCCTAGATATTTCCATTTGTGCTTGGCTATTGTGAAGGGTACCAACTTTTTGATCTTCTCTTCTGTCTTATCTGATGTGTATAGCAGTCTTATAGACTTCTGTTTGTTGATCTTGTATCCTGCCACTCTGCCAAACTCCTCTATTGCTTCCAGTATTCCCCAGTCATTCATTCATATGATTATTTGTTTTCACCACTGAGCACTTACTACATAGATGGCAGAATTCAGGCCCTGCAAAGGAAGAGGTATATTAGACACCATTGATTCTCGATTTCAAGGAGCCAGTTCTAATGAGAACTTTGGAACCAACACCAACACCAAAAATGCAAGAGCTGTTGGGGTGGGTTTGAGGTTGGCAAGGGTACTAGAGATGGGGGCAGGGCTGGACCAGGGGTGTTATCTCACAATTATCCCTGTCTGATCCTGACACTTTCCTCAGCAGGCTGTGAAGGGCAATGGGACAACATGAGCTGCTGGCCATCCACCACCACAGGCTGGACCGTGGAAGTGCAGTGTCCGAGATTCCTCCAGATGCTCACAGGCAGAAATGGTAATGACCAGAACATAGCCCTCAAGTGACCCATTGGAGTGGGCCTGGCTAAGGATCTGGGGGATGGTCCCCAGGAAAAGAACTTCTTCTAGAAAGTCTGAAACCAAGAAATCTTTTCTTGGGTCAAGCAGTGGGAGGGAATTCCTTGTTGAGAAAAGAAACCTTGCTGGGGAGGGAGTGGTGGGTTCAGTTCACAGGGTACTCAACAAAAGGGTCAGAGGCAATATAGAGGCAAGTGATGAAAGATGATGGATTTGCTTTTTTCTGCCCAACATCCCCCCATTTCGGGCCTTCTCTCCTTTGTTTTAGGATGCTAAGTGGTTCAAATGATTTGTGCTTGACTACTAATCTAAAGGTTGGTGGTTTGAGACCACCCCCCGAGAGGTACCTTGGGGAACAGAGCTGACAATCTGCTTCCATAAAGATTATAGCCAAGACAAAGACCCAGAACAAAAGAAATCATATCATGTGAGTGAGGGGGAGCACGGAGTGGAGACCCCAAGTCCATCTGTAGACAATTGGACATCCCCTTACAGAAGGGTCATAAGGAAGAGACAAGCAAGCCAGGGTGCAGTATAGCAATGATGAAACATACAACTTTTCTCGAGTTCTTTAATGCTCCCCCCGCCCATCATGAAGTCACTTCTACCTTACAAATCTGGCTGGACTGGACCATGAACACTGGTACAGATAAGAGCTGGAAACACAGGGAATCCAGGACAGATAAACCCCCTCAGGACCAATAATGAGAGTAGCCATACCAGAAAGGTAAGGGGAAGGTAGAGGGAGAAAGGGAGAACTTATCACAGTTATCTACATATTACCCCCTCCCAGAGGGATGGACTACAGAAGAGTAGGTAAAAGGAGACATCAGTCAGTGTAAGACATGAAAAAAATTTTTTTAAATAAATTATCAAGGGTTCATGAGGGAGGGAGGGTGGGGGAGAAGGAAAAATGAGCTGATACCAAAGGCTCAAGTAGAAAGAAAATGTTTTGAAAACGATGATGGTTTCAATCTCCTGGAGTGCTCTGGGGCTCAAAACAGATTCGCAGCTGAACTGGATTTCTTTTGTTGTTGCTGGTGGTGGTGTGTGTGTGTTTTCCCCCTTGTTTGTTTTGTTTTGATAAACTGATAGAACAGCTGCAAGAGGAGTGGAATCATCCCTAATACCAACACCCCCCCTGGTGACCACAGAATTCAGACAAGGATTTTCTGGTGTAGGGTTTTGTTGTTTCTTTTCCCCTGTTTCTTTACTGTTTTAGTAAATCATCAGTGTAGAGACTTGGGACGCAAAAGGTGTGGAATCATCCGTAACTCCCTATAACCTCTATGTTAGGCAGGGTTCTCTCAAGAAACAAAACCAGGACACTTATGATTTAGATAGATAGATAGATAGATAGATAGATAGATAGATAGATAGATAGATAGATAGATAGATAGATAGATATAGGTTTATATTGGAGAAGGAATATACCATATACCACCTTATTAGTGCACACAGCAGTACAGAGAGCTCAGTTCAACTCACTTTTGTGGATGGAAGGTCCTTCAATTCATTCCAGCTGCTGGTTCAAGGTCAAGGAAGCGGACAGCAAAATCTGCCCTCAGGCAAGACTTGGAAGGTCAGCCGCAGGAAGCAGACAGCAGGGTGTGGTAGCAACAGTCTAGCTTTGAAGCTTAGAGAAGCAGGTCCCAATGGAGTCTCAAGCTCTAGTGATGCACCGCAAGGCAACATGGTCCATGGGTTTGCTTGACCCACTGGAAGTGCAGCACATGGTCAAGGCAAAGGACTACCTCTAGCAGCAGCACAGTGGTCTGATCACCAGGGAGACAGAGTGATGGGAGGCCGGCCGTGGAACGCATTTATCTCGCTTTTAATTGAGCTGTGACCTGATGAAACGTTGTCCACATGTTCTTATGGGGGCCTAGTTGGCACAATAAACCTAACGATCACATACCTGTGGCTGCACCCTGCACAGTCTTGGTTAACCACACATTGGTGACTGCGAATGAAAGCAGTTGCTGGTTCTGGCTTAGGGATGTGTGTGTCTTTCCCTTTTGTTGTTATTATTCCTTCCTTGCTCCATCTGATGGAGTCAAGAGTCCCCATTCACCCATCCACCCTTGTACCTCCAACAACTACAGCTAGTGCATGAGGCAAACCACCCACTCCATCACCACATGACCAACAAATAGAAACAGATACAAAAATGGCATATCTTGAAGATAACAGCAATTTCAGTCTGAATGAAAAGACAAAGCAGAAAGGAACAAATGTGTAACCAATATAGAGAACTTAAAGACCCTCCTGTGGAAGAAGAGGTCTTGGAAACACCATAAAAGGAATTCAGAAGAATGATCATTAGGTACATTCAACAGATAGAAAAAAGATTGAGAAAACTGGCAAAAAACAGAAAGAAAAAGAAATTAGAAGAACTCAGGACAATACAACACTACAAGAGGGAGCTGACAAAGTAAATTAAAAATTAGAAGCCGTACAATATCGCAAATAGAATTCCAGAAAGTTAACATTAAAATAATAGAAATAGAAAACACTTTGAAAGAGCAAATCAGTAGAACAGGAGCAATGGGTAAATTCATGAGCTTGAAGAAAAATTTCTTGATAGTAATCTATGAGAAAAACAAGCCATAGAAGGAACAAAAAAAATGCAAAGAAAGTCTAAGAATTATGTGGGACACTATCAAAAAGGATAACATACATTTGATAGAGATTCCAGAATAGGAAAAACAAAAAGAAGCGGAAAGAAAATAGTCCAGAGTTGCTGGAAGACAGAGCTTGAACTGAATGCCTTCGGGTTGAGGCTCGCAGGGAAGTGAGATGCCCCTTTGGGCATTTATTGGCAGACCCGAGAGAACTTTGTAACATTCCCTGATACACAACTCAACCCTGAGCATTTCTCACGGGCAGTACAGCTGGTTAACTTCCTTGATAAACCCTTCAGTCGTGGATTTTGTGTGAGTTCTGTGAATCCAGTCCAATGGATATTGGAACCCCGGGGTAAAATAGAGAACACTAATTGAGACTACTACATGTGCCTTAGAAATAAGGCCTGTTGATCTTGTTCTGCAAAATTAGCCACTGAACACCCCGTGGGGTGCAGGTCTTCTCTCACATCCATGGGGTTGGCATGACCTGGAATTGAATCGATAGCAACTGGTTTGGGTTTTATTTGGGGGGGGGGGGGTTTCTTGTTTGGGCTCAGCCAGAGTTTGAGCAAAGGGCACGGAAGTGCTCCCATCGGCTGGTTAGACCCCAGAGACCAGAACTCAACCGGTCCTGAGAACCTAGAGTACTGGATGCAGCTGGGCCATTAAGGTTCAAGAAGAAATGCTTCCCTGAGACTGTCCAAGACGTTCTTCTTTGCATGCGACTCCCCTTGCTCAGCCTTTGGGCTCCTGCTGTACAAGCCCCTTGTTGGAATGTTCTTCCCTTGTCTCTCTTGCCAACTTAGGGCAGATGGTGCATCTTCATTCCTTCACTGTTCTGGACAAGTAGCCAAGGTTTAGTGAGCAAGGGCCCCGGACAAGGTGCTTTCTGAGTCGGATACTGCAAAGGGAGATGAGACAGATGCTGCCCTGCCCTTAGGAGCTCAGCAGCAGCCGACCATCTCTGGCCCAGGGTGAAAGACCAAGGACATGGCCCTGCACTGCAAGGACGGGGGATGAACAATGTCTGGGATCTGACGTACAGCCCTGGGCAATGCTGGGAGTGAGAAACATTCATTTGGGGAGTGGCTGAAGGTCCTTACCAATTAGCACAAGTTTTCTGCTAAAGGCCAGCGGGACCTACGAGTGGCCGAAGCACTGTGCAGGACTAAGAAGTGGAACACAGTGTGATAATCAAGCGTATCGGCTCTGGAGCCTTCCTCCCTGGGTACAAACCCCATTCCCTCCATTTACTAGGTGTGACCTAGCGCGAGTCATGTAACTGCTCTGATACTCAGTTTTTCTCAGCTATAAAACGGTCTTAGAATTTACATCTTACAGTAGTACTGTAACTATAAAAATAATGCTGACTACCTCATGCTCTTCCTGTTAGGAATCAATACGTTAATGCATGTAAAGTGCTTACAAGCGTGCCTGGCACATACGAATGACTACATATTAGTACAGGAGAGCACAAAAATCTCCATTTGCGCATTGCACACTCAGAAGAACATGAGACCAGCCTGGTTTGGTGAGGGAGGGCTGCGTAACCCAAAGCCCTGGAGACTGCTGCTCTTCAGCACCACTGTCACACTTTCTAGTCCTATGATTGCTACTAACGACTCCATAAAAGACCCAGCAGTGGTTGGCTAGCTCTCAGTTAAACCTCCAAATGGCCAGAAGTGGCCCCCGGTTGGGGGGTGGGGGTGGGTGGGGAGAAGGTAGGGTGAGAAGGCCCCCAGGGAGGTGGAGTCAGCTTTGGGAGAGGAAGAGGGGAGGTGGTCATGGACATGCTCCGAATGAAGTGGCATCAGTAGGACAAAGGTCAGAGAGACTGTGTGCTAGTGTGGCTGGAACTGGGATGGACTGAGGGCCGCAGGCTGCGGTGGTGGGTGGTGACACAGAGTCCTGTCTCTCTGGGGCCTGAGGTCCGGTTGAGAGAATTGTTGGGAAGATTGAGCGACGTGACATGAACCAACCTATCTCCCTTGTCTTTGGCATCCCCACGTCTGGCTCAGGACTTGGGGAAAGTAGGACCCCCATCAGTGTTGGGGGCACCACTGTGGGTATGTGTTAAGGAAGAGGTGAGGGTAGAGGGTCCCAGGAGGGAGAAGGGTGGTGCTTGTAGGCTCAGAGGGGCTTTGCTCAGGTCCAGCCTCATTGGTAAACTGAGGTTTCAGCAATCAGCAGGTATGATCAGTCTCTCACACACACACAAATGTTCAACTCTGTCTCACACACACAAACACATGTCTACACTCATGCATGGCAGCACACTCTTACATATACATCACACGCAGGGTCACACCCGCATGCACACATGCACTGAGTCTTGGCCCGGTTTGAAGGCCCTTTGCCTATAAACCTTTCCCACTTCACTTTGTCTGATTGACGAACACATCCTTCAGGGGTCAGCAGGGCCGGTCAGGGAGCTGACTGTCCTTCAAGGAAAGGCAGCTGAATCTCTCGTTGCCTCTGTCACCGTTGCTCACCCACGCGTGCTTGGCTCCCACAGGTTCCTTGCTTCGAAACTGTACACAAGGCGGCTGGTCTGAAACCTTCCCTAAGCCCGATGTGGCCTGTGGGGTTGACATGAACAACTTGTCCAATGAGAAACGGGTAAGTCTGTCAACCACCCTCTGACCCTGAGACAAGGGCCTGAAGATGCAAACCCCCTAAGAGAAGACAGGGTAGAACATCCCTGGTGGGTGGCCAGACACCTGGGAGCTGTTGCTGCCACCTCCCCTGCTCTGCTGGGTTCAGTGGGCCTGTGTCACTACCTTTGTCTGTCACCCGGGGATCCTATCTTCTGTGCATGGGGGGTTGAGGTGGTACCCTTTCCATAGTTAAAAACCCTCCATCTACCACCCTGAGAGATAGGCACTGACTGACTGTTCATTCGCTGGGAGAGAATGGTTGCAGGGATTAAATGATTGGAGTCACGTTGGTGAGTCTGAATCTAGCCATGGGACGTGGGGGGCGGTGGCGACATTTAACCCCTCTTGGCTCAATGTCTTCATGTGAGAAATGGGGTTCACCTTCGCTCGGAATGCAGAGGTTTGTGAAGAGAATGACGTGATTTCACATATGGAAATGTGGAAGAACATCCGACCGAGTGACCCCTCACTCCGTGCTCAGGCTCAAAAGGAGTTGCCTCCTCCTTCTGCCGGGGGCAGGTGGAGCCCACGCACCTGTACACCCTGCCGTGAGGGAGCGGGAGTGGGGAACTCAACCTTTGGGGAGATTCTGGGGACACTCCCTGAAGGTGGCCACCGGGGTCTGGTGCCAGACTGGCTCCCTCCAAGTCACTGTCCTCTGAGAAGCCTTCAGCAGAGTTGTTGCCTCTCAGGACAGCCCTGCCTCTCAAACCCAGTACATCCCGTGCCCGTCTTCTCCTGCCTTGGCCTTGCTAGTCCTCCTGGCGGTAACCTTCCCTCCCTGTCTTTTACAGACTCTTCCATGTCCTTCCAGACTCCACTCTGACCCCACAAACTCCAGGAAGATCTTCCTTCCCTTCCCTTAAGACGGCCACCCTAGTGCTCTGGATTGGCCTCACTCTATTACCTTCCCTATTATATTGAAATGGTGCTGTCTTCTCACTCATGAAAATAGGAGCTCCCTGGAGGTACTCATTCATTCAACGAAGACGTATTAAGCTCCTGCTATGGGCCAGGCACTGGTCTGGTCACAGGACTATAGCAGCGACAGGGCAGAGGGATTTCTAGTCATTGGTGTCCGGGTAATGTTCACCGTTGCGCTGCACTTCCACCATGAGCCAGCTGCTTCCTGCTCAATTAGACTTACTCCTCAAGGCAACCCTGTGAGTTCATTTTGTTCTCTCCGCTTCTCAAATAAAAAAACCGAGGTTCACGTGGATCAGTGCAGGCATCCTCAAACTACGGCCTGCGGGCCACATGCGGCCCCCCCCAAGACATTTATCCGGCCCGCCGGGTGTTTTTGCCCCGTTTGTTTTTTTACTGCAAAATAAGATATGTGCAGTGTGCATAGGAATTTGTTCATAGTTTTATTTTAAACTGTAGTCCGGCCGTCCAACGGGTTTAAGGGACAGTGAACTGGTCCCCTGAGCACCCCTGGATCAGTGGGTATCCTTATGAGGTAGCAGAGGCAGGATTCAAACCAAGTCCTCCCTTTTTGCTGACTTGGGAGATGTGTCCCGAGCAGTTTCATTAGTTAAACTCCGGGGGGAACATGGATGGATAAGCTTCTTGGAGAGTGGGGTGGAAGCGTGTTTAAAGGTCCTGGAGGTGGGAAGAAAGGGAGAAAGGGGGGAGTTGTGGGGCTGACCACACCCACCTCTGAATTTGTCTTAGGGCTCCACTCTCTATAGTCAGTCTTGCTCAATTCGAAGTATAATGAGCACAGACCTACGCAGATGATAGAGTTTCGTCCCTCCCAAGTATTCTCATCCAGATGGAAACACAATGAGATCTTCAGATCTGGTCAGGGAGTGTAATCTAATAACAGCATCCAGGAAATACTTATGAGGGGCCCCCATTGCCTTGGAGGGAGGGTCCATGGCTCTGCTCACTACAGATGTTTTTTTGTATCATTGACTCATACGAAGACATGAAGCTTACTCTTACCAACTTTGTAAAATGTGCAAAATTAAGAGGAAATGTTCTGATGATGGTTGGCAGAATCCAGGTTCAAAAAATGCTTTCCCTGTAAATAACAAGTTTTAAACCGGCTTAATAAGGAAATGAGCTAATTTCCTTGGAAATAATTGGGAAAGCAGAGGCTGAATTTCAGAATCCTTTGATGAGGTAACACTGTAAAGTTACCAAGAACCCTTTCCTCTTTCCATCTGCCCTTGCTGGTGACTTTTCCCGAAGACCGGGTATGTTCCTGGTGCAAGGTGACTGCCCTTGGCGATCATGAACACAAATTTCCCTGCTCTGACCTGTCTCTGGAGCCTTGGTGGCCTAGTGGTCACCCTCGGGCTGCCAACTGTGAGGTTAGCTCTTCAAAACCACAGTCACTCCTCAGAGGAAAGATGAGGCTTTCAACTCCCATAAAGAGCTACAGTCTCAGAAACCCACAGGGTCGATCCCACCTTGACCTATAGGGTGGCCATGGATCAGAATGGACTCAGGGAGTTTGGTTGGGGTTTTGATAACCTGTCCAAGGGCAGGATCAACCTGGCTTCCCAATGATCAACCTGGCTTCCCAACCTGGCTTCCCAACCTGGCTTCCCAACTCTTTCCTACAAGCAAAAGAGTTTTCTAACCCAAACCTCCAGCACATCCACCCTTACACCTTATTGTCCAAAATGATTTCTGTATGCCTGCCCTTGCACTCTTAAGAATCATTGAGAGCACCCCAAAATGTTGGGGTCCACACGATGAGAACCACATATCAGGAGCCTTGGCTGAAACCAAAGAGACCCCAGAGTCTTCACCACAATGTTTGTGGGAGTGTTGAAGAGCCCAAGCCAAGGAGCAAACTTTAATAAAAGTAAATGTTAAGCTCCGGTTGGGCAGAGAAAAGTGATGGTCCAAAAATAGTGAGGATGAGACCTTGCTTGGCTTCAGCTCATATTAAGATGATAATAATTCCTAGCAGTGTTTCACATGCAAAATGTGAAAACGTATTTATGGTTTGAACTTGAAGGACACACATACCACTGACTCCCAAGAAAACCCGGCTTAGTTGGGGTTTGTGTTTTTTTAATTTGTTTGTTTTTTGTTTTTGCTCTTTTAAAGCGGGTAAAAGGGAAAACACTGAAAATTGAATTCTTCCAGGGGCTAAGATAATTATAATGAACATGCTGCTTTTACCTTTGTCTCCACCGATCAGTTAAGTTTGTTTGTTCACTCATGCGCTCCCTTGTGAATGACAGGCCAGATCTTGTTCAGATTAAGAGAAGAATGGTTTAGTAATTTCTTCTCAAGTATTGCCCCGCAGTCAATTAACAGGTTGGCCAGAATAGGACTGCTGGTTAAGCACATTTTATTCACTACTAAGTGATCTTTATGAATATTCTGGAGTAGACATACAATAAATTATTGTATGTCTGGTTCCCTGTACACTATATTCCTGTTTAAATGTTAACCTTTTGTTCCTAAAGTGTACATTTAAGATGTTTGACTGTTCAGTTCTATGTATTTGAACTACAATAAACCAACTCTTTTTCTAAAATAAATGATAATAATCCCTACAATTGGAACAGTTTCAAGACCATAGGGGGCTTTGATAGCTAAACACTGGTCCACAAACGGTTGCAGACTTCGTCCTTCTTCAAGGATTTGACTCGTTCTCTTATTGGTAAAATGTGTTTCCTTTGACCAAGCAATGAAGCTACACGTTAGCTGGTTTTCTTTTTCCAACTTCCCCAGTGAGCTAACGCCATGGCCCCCATCAACGAGGACAACAACAAAGCGCATGCCCACTATGCTGTGGGCCATCAGAGAGTCCATCTGGCTAACAGAATCGGGTCTGCTGATTAGACAAGGTGCTGACCAAGGGTGGCCCTCGAGCTGAGGCCACCTCACTGCCTGCTTTTGTAAACAAAGTGTTATGGGTTGAGGGGCAGCAATTTTATGTTAGTCTGGGTACATTAGAGAAACAAATCCACAGAAACTCATATGTATAAGAGAGAGTTTTATATAAAGGGTAAGTGTGCATCAAGAAAACATCCCAACCAGGTGCTGCCCAAGCCCAAAGTCCAACATTAGCCCATCTGTCCGACACCAATCCACAAGGTCCTCCTCCATCTCACAAAACACACGCAATGATGCCGACTGCAGGAGGAAAGCCGAGTCAGTGAATGTGTAAGCATCTCAGCGCTGGCAGGGGTCTCCACACGGCTGCTCCAGCACCCAGGGCTGCATTGGGGTAGGCGCATGTGGCTTCTCCTCGGGGATGTCTTGCAGGAAGTGAGCCTTGCCAGCTGAAGCAGGGAACTGGCTAAGGCAGCTGCACCCTGGTCCGACCATCAGAAAGCAAGAGAACCGAGAAGTAGAAAGGAGAGGCTCACTGAGCCTTTTTTCCCTCTGCCCTTCGATTAACCCCACCTGTGTTTATCGGCCAGGTTGGCCCAATAAACTAACTAACAGCCACTATGCTGTTGACAAAAGCACCCTGATTGTCAGAAAGGCCAGTCAGAGATTCCATCTGGGTGATAGAATGGGGTCTGCTTTATTAGACACGGTGCTGACCAGTGATGGCCCTCGAGCTGCCTGCTTTTGTAAACAAAGTGTCATTGATTGAGGGGCAGCGAATTTATGTTAATGAGGGAGAGACAGCTCCTCAAAAAGGAGGGTCGAGGAAGTTGAGAAATGGAACCCGTGTCACTGATTGTACACCTAGAAATAGCTGAATTGGTGTACTGTATATACTGCTGTGGCATTCTCTATAATAATCACAAAAATCGAGTTAAATTTTACTGAGATACGGCCACCCCCCTTCACTTCCATGGTGCCTCTGGCAAGAGGGCAGTGGTGGTTTGGTGGTATGATTCTCACCCTTTGGGGACTGATTCCTTCTCAGCCAACATCCCTCCTGTTCAACCACCAGCTGTCTGCCAGGGGAAGCGTGTATGCTGCAAAGCTGAACAGATTTTAGCGGAGCTTTTAGACTGGCAGAGTAGGAAGAAAGGC